AATAATGCCCATGAGCATTATTTAGAAAATCATACCTCTTAAAAATTATATGCTTGGTCTCAAAATAATGCCTATGCGTGTCCCTAAATAATGTGCACCCCATATATAACCAGATGCAAACCTGGATTTTTTTGCTTCAATTTGATTATCGCTACTGTATTCATTGTAAGTTTATTGGTAAATGAAATTAAAGAATTTTTGCTGAATACATTCAAGTAATGCCTTTATAACAAGTCGATTATTATTATCATTATAGATATCTGGATTGGGGTTTCAAACCGAAATCTGGGGGTTTCAAACTCAAACCCAGATCTGGGTCTCAAACCCAGATTCAGATCTCAAACCTATAAATACTACAGAGAAACTAAAAGAGAGAAAAGAGAAAGAGAGAGAGAAAAAAAAGAAGAGAGAAAGAAAGAAAGAGAGAAAGAGAGAAAGAGGAAGAGAGAAAGAGAGAGGAAGAAAGAAAAAGAGAGAAAGAGAGAAAGAGAGAGAGAAGGAAGAGGAAAGAAGAAGAGAGAAGAGAAGAAAAGAGAAAAAGAGAGAAAAGGAGAGGAGAGGAGAAAAAAGAAGAGAAGAGAAGAGAAGAAAAGAGAAGAGAAGTGAAAAGAAGAGAGTCAGTTATTTGATATGTGAAAAAAAAAGTTAGCTATTTGATACACAAGAAAAAAAGATAGTTATTTAACATGCAAGAAAAAAGATATTTATTTGATATACATGAAAAATGTATTAGTTATGTAATATATACAAAAAAAGAGTCAGTCATTTGATGCATAAGAAAACAGTGTTAGACATTTAACATGTGATAAAAAAGAGTCAGTTATTTGATATGTACAAAAAAAGAGTTAGATATTTAACACACACAAAAAAAGAGTCAGTTATTTGATACACGAAAAAAGAGTCAGTTATTTGACACACACAAAAAGGGTCAGTAATTTGATATATGCAAAAAAAGGGTTAGTCATTTGATATATGTAAAAAAGAGTCAGTCATTTGACATATAAAAAAAAGTGTTAATTATTTGAAATATGAGAAAAAAAATTAGTCATTTGACACATACAAAAAAAAGTTAGTCATTTAACATATGCGAAAAAAGTGTCAGTTCTTTGATGTGTAAAAAAAGAGTTAGTTATTTGATATACATGAAAAGGGTTAGTCATTTGATATATACAAAAAAAGGATTAGTTATTTAATACATATAAAAAAAGAGTTAGTCATTTAATACGTAAAAAAAGAATCAGTCATTTTATATATGAAAAAAGAGTCAGTCATTTGATATATGCAAAAAGAATCAATCATTTGATATGTATAAAAAAAGGGCTAATCATTTGATATATGCAAAAAAGAATTAGTTATTTGATATATAAAAAAAAGTTAGTTATTTGACATGCAAAAAAGGGTCAATTATTTAACACATATATAAAAAGAGTTAGTCATTTAATATATAGTAAAAGGGTTAGTTATTTGACATGCGTAAAAAAAGCATCTGTCATTTGATACATAAAAAAAGGTTCAGTCATTTGATATGTGAAAAAAGGGTTAGTCATTTGATATATATAAAAAAAGAGTCAGTTATTTGATACA